GCTCTCAGCCGAGCGGCTGCGCTGAATGAGGGAACCGGAGGAGCCCGAGGAGCCGCCGCCGCCGGGGTGAGGGTAGTGCTCCGTCTCCAGCGTGGAGGAGGAGAACACGGAGGACGCCAGTCGTCGCAGGGGGCTGTACCGCGGGAGGGAGTGCCCCGAGAGTCTGTCCTCCTCCAACTGAAAGAGACCAAGAGAGTGGAGGAAAAAGAGGCATCAGGCACAGACTGGACAGCTCTTCTCGGGGGCCACCCACCGCTCACAGCCCCTGCGGCACCGGCGTCCCTGGCAGGGGGCGCATGGCGCTCGAGGAGGGGGCTGCAGGCTGCCCACCCAAGGCCAGCCTCGGAACTGCCAGCGCCCTGCCCACCTCCTCTCACACTGCGGTCTCTGGGTGGGAGACCTTGATCACTCACCTCCTCCTCCGGGAAGCCTTCTGGGCTTAGCCCCATCTAGCACAGGCTCTCTCTGGGCTGGGACCTTCCTGTTAGGAAGGTCCCTTTTGTCGCATCTCTTAGCCAAGTGCCTCCCCTCCCCACCCCCGACCCAGCCACACTCCACACTCCTCCAGATCATTTTTCAATACATTTGCGGTGCTGGAGCTCGAACCCCGGGGCTTTGTCAATGAGCTATGGCCCCCAACCCCCCCCCAGAGATCTAAAACAGCGTCGGGCTCCTTCACACCCTCAGCCTCCTTTCGGGAGGTCCCAGGGACAGTGGCGGGAGAAGTCAAGACTTTGCCTCCCCTTGTCCCTAGCTCTCCCAGGATGGAAGCCATTCAGTTCACCTGCAGTGCTGTGGACTAACTGTCTGGGCCAGCTCCGGGGCATGGAGGAGGAAAGGGGGCAGGGACTGGAGCCGCCCAGCTCCAGGATGCCTTGCTGGTGTCAGATGGGGAGGGGGCCCAGGGGACACCCTAACTTCATCATCTGCTCCACCCCTCAGTTTGCTTCCTCTGTCAGCTTCTGTGAGGGCCAAGTTTGACTCCTTATTTTCTAGTTGGTTCTGTTTGCAGCGAGAGGGGACCAAGATGCCCCAAGACCGATCTCGTAGCCATGCGGGTAGCCATGCGGGTGCCTTGAGTTCAATGCCCTATCAGAGTTTGTGCTCCACCCAAGAGGCCATAGAAGCTGAAACTGGATCCCAGCATGTCCGCCCCCCCCCCAGGCATCACTTGTCCTCAATACCCAGTATGAAGTCACCTTTGTGAGGACATCCCAGCGTCCCCACAAGTCCCTAGAGCAGATAAAAGTCCTCCATTCTCCTGATGGCCCATCTTCCAACCGCCCTCCCAGTCTACTCCTGATTGCAAGCTCTGATCTGAGCACTGAGACCTAACAAAAACACAAACAGCTAACCCCAAATCCTGCCCCATGCATTCGCTCTGCCCAAGCTGAGCTGTCTCTTTGGCTCCTGCCAATTTGCAACTGACCCATCCCCCGAGGAGGGAGCCAGGGAATCACATATCACACTATGCACACCAACCAACAACCCAATGCCTAGCTCCACAGCTGTTGGTCACAGGTTACTGAGTTCATGTGGTAATGACTTCTGCAGGGACAGCTCACACATCCGACTCAGAGCTCACAACACCAGGTCTAGGAGGGATTCCTGAAAAAAGGTGGTGGAGGATGGGGTGGGTATTCTTTCTAGTCATCCAGAAATGGAGAAGAATCTCACAGTTTTATTGCAATCTGTAACAAAGCATGCAGCCTTGGCCTAGCCCAAAGCAATGAAGTGAACACAGGCCAGTCCAGCTTGCTCCCTCTGCCTTGGAGAACAAGGGTCTCCCCTCACTCTGATGCCCTGGAATACGCGTAGAACATGTCGTGTCCTATCTGTTTCACCCACAGGCACCCACAGGCACTGTTCACATTGACATGCCTGCCGGCACATCTGCCAATAAGGCCAGCCAGCTCGTGCCAGCAAGTCCATGCACACATGCACATTCGAATGCTCGGGCACTCTGACCGTGTGCAGACTGTGGTCTGCTTCTCTGACCTGCATTTGCTACTCTGTGTGTTGGACACACAAGCCTTAGCTCGGGGTCCCAGCAGCCCCAGCCGCCTGGTGTCGGGTCCCAGCATTTGGCCCAGCCCAGGCTTGCTCATTTACTTTAGGTGACTGTTTTAGGCAGTTGCCCCTCCTTGTACGTCAAGGTTGCCAGTGTATGTGCAGTGTTGCTATGAGGACCATTCAACATTAGTTTGCAAGAGAGCATCTTCCAGCGTCCCATGCTGGCTGCCGTCATCGTCATTTCTCTCATTACCCTGCCTGCTCCGGTTCCCCTAGAAGCCCCAGATGAATGATTTGTGTGCATATGTCCACATCCACATATCAATGCCCACTCAAGATCAGCGGGCTCAAAAACGCTCACACGTAATTGCAGAATGTTAAGCCACCTCAGTTCTGCACAGTGTGGGGAAACTGAGGCTGGCAAATACTCCCCTCACCCCACAGACACAACCTACTTCCCTGTTCATGCTATTACACCAAGGCTGCCCCTGGTCCTGAAAGAGCTCCCCAGTGTTAGCGTGACACCTAGGATGCCTACAGTATCTGCAGGAGAGAGCAACCTGAGGGAGTTTGGCTCTCTTGTGCTGAGACCTGGAAGGAGACAGTGGCTGGCCCACAGTGGCCATGAAGGAACAACAGGACAGACTTTCACCTGTATTTCCCACCGCTGCCCATGCCCTCACAGCAACGACCCTGCGTTTCCTGGGGGCCACCCAGGTCCCTTTGGTATCTCTGCCACCTGGCAGATAACAAATGCTCTGGGGCGTTAATGAGTGAGAACAGAGTGTGAGAAGTCCTGAGAACGTCTTCTTTGCCCCCACCTTCCCCAGAGCCGTTTGTGGGAACAGTGACCATGGCCTACTCTTACCAGCCCACCGCCAGTGTGAAGCCTCCACATGAGGCAGCAAGGGCTTCTCTGGGTGAGAACTCACAGTCTCCAGTTTTTCACTACTATTTACAGGTACAAGGCAAGACCAGATAAATATCCTCCAGGGTTGTGGATCAGAGCACCGCTTCTAGGAAGGGCCTTCCGACAGGAACAGGGCCCAGTGCACCCCTCCCAAGAGCTGCCCTCTCCATGCCATCCCAGGCTCCCAACCTGAGTGCCTTACAAAGCTAGCTCCAGCCTGTGCCTAGGCACCGCACAAAGCTCCAACATAGGATTACCAAGTGGAACAAGCCACAAGCAGACACTGCAAGGGGCGATGTTCACTTCTCCGTCAGAGGTCAGCTGGCATCCCACATAGAGAAGCTTGGGCAGAACAGTGGCTCGCTGTTCTGACAGGGCTGTCCTTAACGGGAAACACACACACACACACACACAATCTCTCTCTTACACACACACACTCATACACACACTCTTACATACACACTCTCTTAAACACAGTATCTCACACACACACTCATGCACACACACTATCTCTCACACACACTCTCACACAACTCACAACTCTCTCTCACACACTCCTCTTCTCACACACTCATACACACTCTCACACACACTAGCTCTCACACACACTCACACACTCTCTCATGCACACACTCTCACAGACACACACACAATCTCTCATATACACACACTCACACACATTATCCTCTCTCTCTCTCTCTCACACACACACACACCACCACCACCACCACCACCACCATTTCCCCCATGAGATAAGCTTCAGTTCCTCAGATCAGCATTTCCAAGTCGTTTACCACCCCGCCCCTGCCCCTTCTTCAGTCTGGCCGTCTTGTGCAGGCCTGTAACCTCACATGCACTGAAGGCTGTCAAAAAGGACTGGACCCAGCCTGGGCTACCCAGTGGAGCCCCGCCTCAAAACACCAAGAGGACGAAGGGGAGGAGGAGGCGACACCACTGAACCAGACAGGGCTCCTACTCTTGTGAACTCCCTGACCTTCCAACCTTCCAACCCACCCGCCAAATACCAGAGTTACAGGAGTGTGCACCAACACACTAGTTTCATGCGGCACTGGGAATCGAACCCAGGGTTCTGCCCGTGCTTTCCTCCCCAGAGCCGTTCCTGACTGGGATGGTGGGCAGCATCCGTGCTGTCCCGTCTTGATCGTGCTCACCTCTCTCCCCAGGGCTTCTCCCACGTTCTCATCCCTCCTGGGTCACGATTAAGGACTGCCTTCTCTCCCCCCTCTATGTGAGCATTCTGGGTCACGATTAAGGACTGCCTTCTCTCCCCCCTCTATGTGAGCATTTCCTATTTTCTACCCCACTCTTGGACCCCCCACCCTGCACGGTTCTCTAGGTGACAGCAGCCACCCCCACGGTCCCTGTGAGTTCAGGTGAGATCTGTCTCCTGAACAATGGCTAACGCGCCATGGTCACCCCTCAGATACCAAGAGGTCATTGTGTCCAGTCTGAGTCCACACACATACCCTCGAAGGCACTCAGCGACGGCTGGCTGCCATCAGAGTCCCAGGCATCTACCGTCACCCACAACCTTCCCTTCGTCATAGCCTTTCTGTCCTCCAGCCATTTGCAGGGTGCTCCTGCTACTGAAAACGTGTGGCCTGCCTGCTCCTTAATGTTTACCCCTTCAGTTCATTTTCTACAAAGCAGCTCAAGTCTAAACCTACCACACCCCTATTTAAAAGCCTTTCAGGGGTTACCAAGCCTTCAGGATCGAGTCCCATCCCTTCAGTGTGGTGCCAAGGCCTCTGTGACAACCCCAGGACGGCTTCTTCACACCCTCATCAGCACCGTGCTGAAGACCGACACCACAAGCCTGTGTATGCTGCCCCTGGGGCCCAGGAGGCCGGTCACCTAGCTGTGCTACTCACAATGCAAAACTCATCCCACAACCTCAGCCCCGTCTGTCCCCACGTTAGGTGTGGGGCCTTGTCTCCACCATGGTCCTGTCCCTGCTGGGTTCCCAGGCCAGAGGGGCCACAACAGAACACGCCAGGCCTGCCTGTGGGACTCTGGGATCTCAGGATAGGGAAGTCACATCCAAGCCCAGTCTTACCTGTCTCTGAGGGCCTGTGGGGTCCGACTCTCTCCGTCGAGGGCGGGGTCCCGAGTGCAGGGGCGAGTGGGAAAGGCTGCCGGGTGTGGGTGGCTGCGATGTCTCTGACCGGCCGTCAGCCTGGCTCAGCAGAGGTGGTGCAGGCTGGGGCAGGCCCTGCCGCAGGTCCTCCTCTGCCAGCGTCTGCATACCACGTCCTCGGGGCCTGACACTGGGCTCTGTCCCCAGACGTCTCCTTTCTTCGCCCTCCTCAGGCAGAGGCCGGAGCTCCTCAGGCTCTTCATCTGTGGTGCCCGAAGTGCTGGGCTCAGCCCCGGGAGGGAAGTCCTTGAGCTCTGTCTCCTTGTCAATGATGACCCATTCCTTGCTGTCAAAGTCTTCCTCCTCAGCCAGCGGCACCGAGCGGAAGGCATTGCTCAGGGCCTCCTGTTCCACAGAGGCTGACACGTCCATGCGACCACTGGCCTGTCTGTCAGCGTGGCCTGTGTCCACCGACAGCATCTGAGCCGGCTGCGAGGAGCAGGCCTGTCGTGAGGGCGAGCCAGGCAAATCCATCCGTGACCTGCAAGAGCCACCGAATGGAGCTCAGCGCTGGCCTCTGAAGCCCCAAGGGCATCGGCCGGCGACAGGGTAGAGTACGACTCCTTCAACACCACCTTCTAGAAACACGTAACTATCCGACCCTCATGTGCTCATTCAGCAGATATCCCATAATGCTCACTGTATCCCAGGAACACGAGCATGCAGAAACCGAACCCATCCCTCTCCTCCAGGCTACTCCGGGGATCCGGTCTCTCCAACACCCATCAGGTGCTTAGACTCCATCTGTGGCTCCCTCCTGCCGCATCCAGGGCAAATGTACCGGCTGGCTCTGGAGTTTACAGATGGCTTCTAGCTCCACTCCTGACACCCTCCGGTCCTGCCCAGCTGGCACTTGACAACCCCAGGCAGGCCGGGCCTTGCTGTCCCCAGCTGCAGACCGGAGTCGCCTGTGTTCCTTAGCCTGTACCCAGGGCCTCTCGGCCTAACTGCTTTGCTTTTTCCCTAGCCTCGTCTGTCTCAGAGCCTCGCACGTCTCTTGAACTGTCCACCCCACAGCCAGTGCCTCCGTCCTCTGCCCCACTCTGAAACACTTCCTGTCGCGAGCCCTCCCCTTTCCGCATGGACAGTGACTTGCCCCCACAAGGCTCCCTGAGCACCCACCACACCGTGGACCTCGGATCTCACAGTGTGTGTGAGATAGATAGACTGTGACCTCTGCCTGGCAGGGCCTGGGTTCCTCTAACCTTTGACCTCAGGGCACGGATCCTGCCTGGGGACATCTGCCTTTGACTCTCACTCAACACCCAGAATGTCTGTTTGGCATGGCACCAGCTCCAAAGGAAGGATGCTTCTTTTTTTTTTTTTTTTTTTTTTTTTGGTTTTTCGAGACAGGGTTTCTCTGTGGCTTTGGAGGCTGTCCTGGAACTCCCTCTGTAGACCAGGCTGGCCTTGAACTCACAGAGATCTGCCTGCCTCTGCCTCCCGAGTGCTGGGATTAAAGGTGTGTGCCACCACTGCCCTGTGGAAGGATGCTTCTTACACAGCATGGTTGTGTGTGTGGTAAAGGAAGAGGAAATGTTGGCCCCTGACCCCAGAACCCCAGGAAAACCAGCAAGCCTAACTCATCTGGGCTCTGGGCTCCAGGCAGGGCCTCATTAGCCCCGAGTGACTCAGCTGCAGAGGGAAGTCTTGCTAGGGACACCTGCCTCTCTCTTCTCCACTCAAATCCCTCCCTTACTTCTCCGTGTCCAGAACCCTCTGTTCCAAGGGGCTCCATGCTGCCACGGGTGAGGGCGCGGTCTCCGGTGCTTGGCAGGACAGCCCGGGTGAGTGAGTGCTGTCACACCCTCGGGGACCCGGGCATGTCTTGGGTTTTCTGCACCCACCCCCTCCCCGTGTTTGATCTGGAAGATTAGGACAGTTTAGGGCCAGGGCCAGGGCCACGGCTGACGGAGGTCTTTAGAAAAGAAACTGAGTGGGTATCAAAAAGGACGCCCTCTTCCTGCCTGGCCAAGGAAAGAGCCTCGCTTGTCTTTCCTAGTGTAGAGAGGCCCTGGAGGAGAGGTCCTCGGTGGCCAAGGAAAACCAGTGACATGTTATCCTGCAGGTGCCCCCCACCTGGTGTCTCAGTTACACCCCACCCACAGGAAGCTTACCCTCCTCCCACCTCCCCAAGGCCGGCTCCCTCTCTAACCCTTCCTCTCATCAGCCAGGCTCCTGCTGGGTCTCCCCTGTTCTCAATTCATGCCCCTTAGGTCCCCAAAACTTGTCCCATCCTGCACCAGCAGGCCAAAGGAAGCCCACCTCTCCAGGCACGTGAATTGTTACCCAGGAACAAGTCATCTAGAACCCAGTCCTGGGTCCAGACACTGGCCTGTCCCATTCTTTCCCCCTCTGGATGCCTCACGACAGGCCACCAACGGACCCCAATCCTGTTGAGCCTGACTCCAGGCCAAGCATAGCCCTCACCATGCTTTCTAGAATTCCGTATGACCAGCCACACTGATGAAGGCACATGGGACCAGAGGCCTGTGTCACCCCGAGCCCGTCCACAAACCTCCTCTCATGAAGCTCTATCCGCCCATCAGCTGCTGTAGACAGCCTCTCCGACTCGGGGCTGTTGACCCTCCGGTAGCGTAGAGACCGTACTGGGGTTGTTGGGGAGTCTGGGGGGGGCACGCACTGGGGAACTGGGGACCCCGACTCCTCGACTCTGCTCTTCCTCCACACAGGGGGTCTGTAAGAGAGGGGATGCTGTGAGCTGGTGTTGACAAGCTGGATTTGGGTGAGAGCCTTTCTCAGGGTAAAAGAGACATGGGGGGGCGGGGGCGGGGGCTGGGACGCCCCACCCACACCGGTCTGCCTGGATGCAATTACTTTGCCGATGTTGATACGCAGCTTGTTGCGGTTGACATCCGTCTCCTCCCACACTTCAGCCTCAGGACCCCCAGGGTGGGGGACAAGGTGGGGACTGGGGCCCAGGCCCTCTGGAGGCCTGCCAGGCAGGATCGGGGGTGCGTTCTCCTGGTCACTCAGGTGCTCGCCCTGCAGCACATCCTCGGTGTTCTCGCGAAGCAGGTCCCCGGGCACTGGCGTCACATTGACCACTCTGGGGAGACCAGGGAGAGGCACGGGCTAGTCTAGCAGGGATTTCCTCCCTTTCCTCCATCCCCAGCCCTCCAGGCCTCTGAGACGAGACCACCCTCGAGTTAGCAGGGGCTGCCATGAGATACGTCCCCACGGAGCTCCACCTTTTCAGGAGACCTGTGGGTTCCCGAGCCCTGGCTGCAGTCACTGTCAGTGCCTGGCTCCCTTTAGGGACACCTTAAAAAGACCCTTTATGCTCCTTATCCAGAGACCTTTCAAAAGAGACGTGTTTACTTTTATGTGTACGAGTGTTTTGCCTTCATGTATGATGCGCACCTTGTGTGTGCGGTGCCTGGGAAAGCCAGAAGACAGCAGTGGGTCCCCTGGTCTGGAGTTGCAGACAACCGTGAGCCACCATGTGGGTGCTGGGACCCTAACCCAGGTCCGCTGCAAAAGCAGCCAGTGTTCCTAACTGCCGAGCCGTCTCTCCAGCTCCACATGTGAGCTCCTTAGTAAACGTCATTTCTGTCTCTGTGAGTGTGCGTACACAGAGTGCGTGTGGAGATGGGATGACAATCTTAGCTTCCATCTCGACGCATAGCTGTGGGTTGTGTGTGTGTGTGCACGTGTGTGTGCACGTGTGTGTGTGTGTGTGTGTGTGTGTGTGTGTGTGTCCTCACCCGTGTGCACGCATGTGGAGGCCAGAGGTTGGTGTGGGGTGTCTTCCTCTATGGTTCTTCATCTTGGTTTTCATTTTGTTCATTTTTGTTTTTGTTCTTGTTTTTGAGGTAGGATCTTACTATGTAGTCCTGGCTGGCTGGTCTGGAACTTGCTATGTAGATCAGGCTGACCTCAAATTCCAAGAAAGTTGCCTGCCTCTGCCTCCTGAGTACTAGGATAAAAGGTGTGCCACCACGACAACCCTCACCACGTCTTTTGAGACATGGTCCCTCAGTGAACCTGGAACTTTCCATTTCAGCTAGAATGACTGGCCAGCTAGCCCCCAGGATCCACTAAGGCAAGGGTCTCTTCTGCATCAGGCCGGCTGAGCTGCAAGCTTCCAGAAGTTTCTGTCCCTGCCTTCCATCTTAACAGAGACACAGAGATTACAGGGATGCACTACTGTGTCTCCTTTACGTGGGCTCTGGGGACCTTAACTCGGGTCCTCATGCTTGGTCTGCAAGGGCTTTATCTGCTGAGCCAGGGTCCCAGGCTCGCTCTTCTGTTTTTAAAACAGACTCTCTGTGTAGCCGAGGCTGGTCTCAAACTCGGGATCCCCTTTCTAAAATGCTGGAATTAGGTATGTGCCATCATGCCCGCTTCCCCAAGCAACCTCAGCACAAAACTGTGCTGTGCCAGGAATTTCTGTGGCATCTTCCTCCCAAAGGTGGCTCTGGACTAGGTGATGGGATTGCCATGCCTGGCTACCGACTTGACTACGCCTGCAGTTAACTAAAACACAGATGGCTGTGAACCTATGGGGGATTTTTTAAATTAAATCATTAGAAGTGGTAAGAGCCATTTCTAATCTGGATCTTTAAGGTGAGAAGCTCCACCTTTAACCCAGATGTTTTGGAGTCAGGAGATCCACCTTTAATCTGGGCCATGCTTCTGCTGGCAGGATGCTTGCTCCTGCTCTCACGGGCAAGTCCGTTCCTTCACCGGCTTTAGAACGTACTTCTTCAAGATTCTGGTGTATACTGAGGACCAGCTGAGACATCAGCCTCATGGACTGAACAACTGCTAATTCTTGGTCCTTCCACTGATAGGCAGTCATTGTTGGATGAGCTGGGTCACAGCCTGTAAGCCGTTCTATTACATATGTTCATTCTAAAAGTTCTGTTCCCCTAGAGAGCCCTGACGAATAGAGGCGGGAACCCCTCTTAATCAGGCTCCTCCTCTCCAGGTATCCTTCTGTGTGCCTCACATGGTTCTGAAATTACTGGCCACATGGAGGCAAACATCTCAGCGTTGGCTGAGGCCCTGTGAAGACAAGAATCAATGTCTTCCTGAGACCCCGTGGCATTGGATGATGTAAGAAATACATGTCCATTATTTACAACGAGAAAGGCAGACTGTGGGCCTCAAGTCATTTCACCCAGGATTTCTTCCGTAGTCAAAAACTCTAAATAGCCCTGAAGTAGTGGTGCACGCCTTTAATCCCAGCACTCGGGAGGCAGAGGCAGGTGGATCTCTGTGAGTTCCAGACCAGGTCTACAGAGCGAGTTCCAGGACAGGCTCTAAAACCACAGAGAAACCCTGTCTCGAAAAACAAACAAACAAACAGAAAGCTCTAAATGAAGAAGATACCCACTCCATGCCCAGATTCAGGGTGGATTGTAATAGACTAGCTCAAGAATCTGGCATGAAGACACAGCTAGGTGTGTCCGAGGATGATGGGGGCTGACTTCTTGGGTGACTTCTTGTCCAGGTAAGGGTCACTGGTCACTGACCACCCAGCCACCGCGGTGTCCCACTCAGACTCACCCAAACATGGCTGCTGTCTGCCGGGTGTTCTGCTGGGGTGGGGTGGAGGTGCTTGTGGACAGGAGGGTGTCGGTTCCAGCCTTCTCCCAGTCAAAGGCCTCATTCTCAGCGATACCCCGCTCCTTCATGCTGTTCTCAAACACCGACATGATCAACTGCAGGGGATGGGGATGGCAGGAGGACAGAGAGGTGACCCCTAGCCAGGTGGAAGGGGCAGTAGCTGGGATTGTGGTGAGGGGAGATGGGGCTTCTGGGTCCGGGATGGGCCTGGAGGGGGCATTGGGAGGAAAGTGCACATTGGTTTTAGATGAAAGCACTCCACAAAGCAGTATGCAAATTGTCATCTTGGATTAAGTCCCACCAGATGGACACCAGTCCTCTGAGCCTGTTCTGCCATTCCTGTCATCTCAGCGGGCACATCAGTGTCCCTGAGCCACTGGGTTCCATCTTGGTCTCATGGCTCTCTGCAGGCTGCTGCCGCTGATGGGGCGCCCCTCCCCGTCACTCTCCCGCACAGCATCCCTCAACTCACTGGGCACAGAGTGTCCATCTTGCATCACTTTCAAGCTTTTCTGCCAATCCTACAGCCACCAAGGGCTCAGACATAGGTGTTTATAACTGTGTGGATCGAGAGGCTCAACGAGGCTCAGCCAGGACAAGGAGTGGGGTGTCAGCTCTACTGGCAATTGGGGTGCCCTTGTTCAAGAGGTAGTGGGTGGTTACAAAAGTTCAGAGCCCAGGGAGGGCACTCTGCGGACAGGGCGCACTTGCTTTGATGTCCGCCGTGCGGTTGGCACTGTCTGATTCCCTACGGTGCCCAGCAGTGTGCCTCGCCCAGAGCGGCCTCGGGGCAAACACTGCCGGTGTGTCTCTACACTCTCCAAACATTGTGATAGGTCCCGTGCGGTGGGTGATGGAGCCACGGGGAGAGCATCAGAGACAGCTGAGCGTCCTTCACCACAGTGGTGCATGTGAGGGTGGTGCCATGAGGTAACTGAGAAGCTCGAAAATCCCTACCGACTGGTCATGTCACAGCCATTGAGACACTGTGGTACATTACTCCAGTGTGTGGTGATGTGTCATCAGTCACATACAGAAGGTGACACACACAGTTATGTGAAGTATATAATACTATGTGTTTGATTTTGGGTTTTGTGTTTATTTTATTTTTTTAATTATGTGTATAGGTGTGCGGGTGGGGTGTGGGGGCTACATACATGAATGCAGGTGCCCGTGGGTGCCAGAAGATGGTGTCAGGTTCCCTGGAGCTGATATTACATGTGGTTGTGAAACTCCTGGCATGGTGCTGGGAATTGAACTTGGGTCCTCTGCAAGATCATCATGTTCTGTCAACCAACGAAGCACTTCCCTAGCCCTGGTTTTCTTGTTGCTGAGACAGGGTCTCCGTGTGCAGCCCAGACTGACCTCAAATTCATGATCCCCCTGCCCCTGCCACATGAGTTCTGGGACTACGGCTGTGTATCACCACACCTGGCGATACTGTTGTTAAAATCACACATCCTCAGCTTACAAAACACAAAGCTGACTGAGGTTGCGTACGTGGTTGTGTCAGTAGAAGGCCTGCTTACTTAGCATGCAGGAAGCTCTGAGTCCAACCTCAGGTACACGCAACACGGCACGGTGGCACATGTCTAAAATCCCAGCACGTGGGAGGTAGAGACGGGAGGGTTTTCTTCAGCTACGTATTGAGGTTGAGGACAGCTGATCTACATGAGATCCTGTCTCAGAAACAACAGAAACTGTATCTGTCACAGCATGCTGTGTTAGGCCAGGAGAAGCTTACGGGTCTCATGTTACTGCATCTTTTGTTTGAGTGTCTGCCACGCTGGAGGACAGGGTGTATGAAAGGGAAGTCCTGTCCAGGTTTGGGAAGTGAACTCTACAATGGTCATACAGTGACATAGTAAGGACAGTCTGTACCCTGTCACTAAGCAATGTATAACTGTCCCCGAGTCCAGCCCTGCTCTCAACCATGGTGTCTAATCTCAGTTTCCCATCTATGAACAATCACCCCAGTTAGCTTCCTGCAGAGTTCTGCTGTCAAATATATCATGGTCCTCCCGCCCCACAGGGTCTCATTATGTAGCCCCAGCGGACCTGGAACTCTCCATATAGAGAAGAGACCAGGCTGTCCTCAAACTCAGAGACATTTGCCCCACCCCACCCCACCCCACCCCGCCCTAAGTGCTAGAATTAAAGGTGTGTGTGATCACGCCCCCTGCCGCAGATCCCCATTTTGAAGCTTGAATGTGATACCACGAGAACAGACTTATACTGGGGAAGGTCAGCTCTTGAGAAACCTTAGCAGTGACTGCCGTTTGCAAGGGCAAGGGCAGCTTGACACAGCTAGAAGACCAAAGGACAGCTGCAGGGGCAAACTTGAGGCACGCCAGGCTGTGGGGGGAGGACAGTCGCTGCTGGGGGCCAGCAGCCGTCAGCGGTCCCCCAGGCTGGAGGTCGCACCTGGTAATCAGGCTTGGTGAAGTAGTCGAGGCTGGCGATGTGGTCCAGGAAGAGATGAAACTCCGAGGGCATGTGCTTGAGCAGCATCCGGTGCTCGTACTTCTCCTTGATCATCCCCACCTGCTCCTGAGGGGGCAGACACAGGAGGTGAGGCCCGGCCGCTCCGCCGCCCGCTGGCTTCCTCCGCCCAGCTGTGGGGCCTCACCTTGTCCTTGATCTTCCTCCAGGGCAGCTGGCCCACGGCAAACTCCACCAGCATGTAGAAGAGGGACCACAGGTCATCATGGCGGCCCATCTCCTGAGAGGTAAGGGGAGAGTCACCCGCAGTTCCCACATCCTCCTCTGGGAAGGGATGGCGAACCCTTTTCTGGGGACGTCTGACACGGGAACCCAGATAGGCAACGTTGGGGTCTCTCCGTGGCTGTGGCTCGTCTTATACCTCAGCACACTTATACCACAGTAAAAAGTCCTGAGTATGTTCTGTCCCTTCACCGGGGATTTTCAAGGGAAGAGCGATGATGGAGGCCCAGAAGACAGCCGACAGTGACACATTTCTCCAACTCCAAGCTTCAGTGCCTGTAGCCCACACTCCATCCTTTTCTCCCCACCTTGACATCCACAGCCCACTCCATACCCAACTTTGCCTTTCAGCCCTCAGCCCTTACCTCAGGCTATGCCACTCACTCACCCTGTTCTTGTGGGCATTGACCGAGGCATAGCGAACAGTCCCCCGGAACCCGGCCACATTCCGAGGCTGCAAGGAAGACCACACCTCAGCAACATTGTCAGCCCGGCCACCACCAAGACTAACTGCCCGCCTCGTCCTGATACCCAGGAGCCCAGGCTGTCATCTCAGGGTTGGATGTGAAAAGAACACCAAGCCTGCTTAGGCAGCTACAGGGAAAACAGTGAAGTATCCCTACAAGAGAGTCCGTAGAGCCCCCACCACCCCGATGCCCGATGGTACTCACGGGCCGGACATCCCCTGTAGTGTTAGTGTACTGCCGGGCCAGCCCGAAGTCCAGCATGTAGCACTTCCTGTAGGTGGAGGGCAGCCGGCCCATGGCGAAGTTGGACTGTGGGAAGACAGCAGCTGTGAGCTGTGCCCAGCGGCCCCAGACCCACCAAGATATTGCCCTGTCAGCGCTGAAGGGCCCCCAGCCCGTGGACTCTGCATTCACCCACATCCACGTGAGTATGACTGTTGCGTCTCAGCACAGAGCGGGTATAAATGACTGCCCTCGACTTACAGACTCAGAAAGGGAGGGTCGAAGGCCGAGGGGCATCTCCGAATCACAGAACTGGTGAAGACAGGCTCTGAGCACTGGTCTGTCCTGCTCTAAATCCTCAGCTCCCTACAGGGCAGTGGGCCTTGGTATGGCTGCCTGGCTCAAAGTCAGCTGGCCGGCACCTTCCTTGCTGCGTGCCCTTCGGTCATTCAGTCAGCCTTCCAGGCTTTTCTTTTGACCCTTTCCAATGAGAGGGTTTTGCTTTATTTTTCTATCACCAAGAGCCAAGGCCTGCCTCGGAAAGTTAGATGACCTCCCCTGACCTCCTGACTCTAGACTGAAGGCCGACACAGGGTCGTGGGTGAGGGATGAAAAGGAATGGAGAACAGAGATGACAGCTGGGCACGCAAGAGGTGAGAGAGAGGAGATGGGACCTGGTGAGGGTTGAGGGCTGTTCCAGTGGAGGAGGCTCCCGAGACACAGGAGAGCTCAGGTGCGTGCTCACCGGCTTGATATCGCGGTGCAGGAAGCCCACAGAGTGAATGGCTTCAATGGACTCCAGGATCTGCTTGCCCAGCCGCAGAGTGGTGCTCAGCGTGAAAGTGCCCCTGGGCTGGCTGCGGCGCAGGTCAGCCAGGTTCCGGCCCTGGGTGGGGTGAGGGACCGGTTAGATGCAGGATGGGGAAGGGGAGGCCCATCTCCCAGCAACCACCCTGTGATGGCCACACCCTAGGTGGGGTGAGACGGGTTAGATGCAGGATGGGGAAGGGGACGCCTGTCTCCCAGCAACCACCCTGTGATGCCCGTCTCCCAGCAACCACCCTGTGATGCCCGTCTTCCAGCAACCACCCTGTGATGGCCACCCAGCCTTGCCCCAAAAGGGTGGTGTCTACTGTCTACCCATCCCGTCAGGCACCGGTGCCTCCCGTCCCCATGCCCCACCCAAGTCACACCCCAGCTCTTGGGGAAAGAGGCAGGTGGACAGGTCCAGGACACACCTGCAGCTGCATCACCACATAGTTAAACTTCTCATTCCTGCCGCAGCCAATGAACCTGCACACATGGTCCTTCCCTGAAGGGCACAAAAACAGGGCCTCCCAAGTCCCGTTCTTCCTCCTTACCAGCCAAAGACAGGCTCTGGTGTGCGCCACAGCCCCTTCCCACCTCCCTCCTTCCCCTCTCTCTGTCTCTGTCTGTCTCTGTCTCTGTCTCTGTCTCTCTCTCTCTCTCTCTCTCTGTCTCTGTCTCTGTCTCTGTCTCTGTCTCTCTCTCTCTCTCTGTCTCTCTCTCTGTCTCTGTCTCTGTCTCTCTCTCTCTCTCTCTGTCTCTGTCTCTCTGTCTCTGTCTCTGTCTCTGTCTCTCTCTCTCTCTCTCTGTCTCTGTCTCTCTGTCTCTGTCTCTGTCTGTCTCTGTCTCTGTCTCTGTCTCTCTCTCTCTCTCTCTCACACACACACACACTTTGTTGTGTGTGGTGTGTATGCCATGCCCACCTAGCTCTTACGTGGGTTCTGAGAATCTGAAGTTGCTTTAACCCTGGACCCATTTAGGCATCTCTGGTCCAGGAAGGCTCTGAAATAGCCCTGCAACTCCCACCTCTGGTCCTGCTTCCTTCTAACACTGGCCGCACCCCCGTCGTAGGCCTTGCACCACCTCGCTTGGCCATGGCCAGCAGTCTCCTGTCACTCTCCATCGCTGCCTTGGACCCTGGCCCCTTCTGACTTAGACCTGACTCCATCAAATCCTCCTCACATTACACCTCATCATTTCCCAGCTGCATCCCCCCCTTCCCGTGCCCCAGCCCGGGGGTACCTTGAAGCTTTTTGAGCACAGCCACCTCCATCTTGAGGACCTGTTTCGGCTGCTGGGCTGACTCCACCTTGAGGGCCACATTCTCCCTGGTCAGCAGGTCCATGGCCTCGTAGATCTCACCGAAGCCCCCGCCCCCGATCTTTTTTAGCTGTGGACGAGGGGAGGGATTTGTGCTCAGGGATCAAGCTGGACAGCTCCTCAGCCCACTTGTGATTATGTCCCCACTGATGGGCGGGCCATGTTCTTGAAGGGGAGGGCCCATTTGCCCCACCCAGTCAGTGCCCACACCTCCTCTCCTGTGAGACAGACAGTTCTGCTCATGGGTACAGATCCCTTCCAACACACACACACACACACACACACACACACACTCACCACACACATACACAGAGACACCACCCACACACACAAGCACACATATCACACATACATAAACTCACACACACACAAGCACACACATCACACATACATAAACTCACACACACACGCACACACTCAGAGACATACACACACTCACACTCTCACAAACACACTCATACACAGACACCACACACACTCACACACACACACTCACACACAGACACACCCCACCAGACAGGTGTCTGAATAAGATAGAGACTTGTGGCTTCGGGCAGACATGGAGACAGCCCTGCTGAGGTTGTGGGTCACCCTGCATCTTTTCTTCTCTAAAAGGGGAGCGGGGCCAGGGATGTAGCTCAGTCAGTAGAGTGCTTTCTTAGTACCACATCCTCTGGGCATGGAGGTGCACACTGGGGAAGGAGGTAAGGGCTCAATACCAGCCTGCACTACAAAGCAGGGCTAGCCTGGGGTGTTTGAGATCCAAGAAGGGGAGTGAGGGAAGGAGACAGGGAGGGACACATGGGTAGGAGCAAGGAAAGGTGTCTGATCCCCAAGACCCACGTGGAAGGAGTGACACAACTGTCTCAGGCTATCCTGTGACTTCTACACACACACACACACACACACACACACACACACACACACACACACGACACACAAAGCCACACCACACATCAATAATGCAAAATAAAAGAGCAATGGAGGACGGAAGGGAAGCCAGAGCTATGAGGGAAGGCGAGGCTTCCTGAGCCAGGGGAGGAAACAGGGAAAGAGAAAGGGCAAAGAGCAGAAAGAAACAGGCTCGTCCTACTCTGATGGAGGCTAGTCGACAACAGAGACCTAACAACCAGCTGGGACCAGACCCAGACTCTGGGGACAGCGGCCTATCTCCCGGGGGCGCTCCAACCTTGGGAGACAGTGACCTGCTCCACACCCTCTCACAGCTTGCTGTGTGACCTCGGATGACAAGGTAGGCAAGTGAAGAGCTCACAGACATCGCCACGGTCAGCCCCAGGCTCCATGGCACAGGTGAAGATCACCTGATCCCCGTGGCACTCACAGGGCCTGCAATGCCTCGGCTAGGCCCCAGGACTAGTAAGTAACTGGATTGCACTTCCTCTAAACTCCATCAACCGGAGACAGAAGCTGCCAGCGCAGAAGCCAGCTGGGTCAGTCAGCTCTGCAAATGTGGGTGCTGACACTGGAGCCATGGACGCTCTGCTGGCGGGAGTATATCTAACACCCACCCCCAACTTCCCAGGGCCCCGACTGCTTCATTGGCTCTTTCCCCAACTGAGCCTACTTCTCTACCCGGAACCGGAGTCTGGCCGCTGGCCTTCTGCCTGTGATGAGGGCATACTCATCCATTGGCCACAGGGACTGGGCACCTCACATTTTGGGGGATCCCCAAAAATGTTTTTCCTTCAAATCAGAAGATAAAGTAGGGCTGAAGAGATTCTCACAACCAAGAGACACAGCGATGAACTTTTAGGCCAGAGAGGAAAACTCAGTCTGGAATATGAATCTATGGCAATGCAGCCGTACAATGCAGTCTTCAGTGCCCTATTCTAGAAGGAGGTGTCAGGAGGCAAAAGGGCCCAGGGCCCATGAATGTCACAAGGCAGCCTGACTCAAAGTCCCTCAGGAGAACTCCCTTTGGCCCTTTGCAGGCCCTGTTTCTCCTCCTCTTCTGTATGTTTTAACCATGCCAACCCCTGTCGAAGGACCTCCCTAAACCACAGAAGAAACACAGCACCATAGAGCCTCAGTTTATCTGCGATGGACACTCTTTTCTTGGCCCCACTCTGGGCCACCTAGAATTATCTAGGTCTCGTAAACTGTTGGAGCCTCTGCTATAAGAGAGAGTCAGATCGAAACAAAGACTTCCCAGCCCTAAGCCCCCAACTCTCTCAGGGGCTGGTTTTTGCTGATCACACTGACCGGCAGACAGACCTCAGCCTGTCTTCTGATGGTGAAACTTGGCAAGTTAGCTAATCATACCTATGAGACGAGCGTGCTGGTGTCTACTCCATCAGTTCCTGAGATAACCCCCAGGGGACACCTTCACAGCCTCTGAGAACAAGAAAGGCACAATAGGGCTGGAGAGACTGCCCAGCAGTTCAGAGCACCGGCTGCTCTTCCAGAGGACCCAAGTTCAAGCCCCAGCACCCACATGGCAGCTCACAGCCATCTGTAACTCCGAGATCTGGCACCCTCACACAGACATACATGCAGGCAAAACACCAAAGCACATAAAAGAATTTTAAAAGGCACAAAACAAACACTAAGAGTTTTATTACTGCTGTTTGTTATGCTGCTTGCAAAGATCACCCCTCAAGAACAACTACTCTTTTATTCTTTTTTTAGGGCAAACTTTTTTATTTACAACTTACTATTTTAAATATTCTTCCTAGATTGATGACCCCCATTTCTCCTGTCAGCCCATCTCTGGTCCAGGACTCCCACATCCGTCCCATCCCTCCCCGAACATGGCTGCATCTGGCATCTAGTCTCTCTAGCTCTCCAGGGGAAGGAACAGGAGACAGCCATAAGGAGAGTCCAGGTCTGGCACACTCGCCCCTCCCCCAGCCTCCCTGCATCTCCCTCTGCCATTTCCCTCCCCGCACACTCTCATCCCTCCTTCCCGGAGCACAGCAAGGTCTTTAGTCTAAACTCAGTGTGTGTGAACAGTCTTTTTCAGTACAAATGTCATTCAGTCTCCCATCTGCCAGACACCAAGTTCATGTGCCAGGGACCCGGGGGGTCTTGAAGGAGGCTTCTCATTTTGCCAAACGCCCCTTGCTGCTCCTCCTGCATCTCTGCCCAGTTACTCTCCCTTCGGGGCCCTAAGAGTCTCCTCCCTAACACCCCACTCCCAATTCCTGAAAATGCTACTTGGCATCTCTCCTTGGACCTCTAGCGGACCTGCGCGGCCGGGTGACTGTTGCCATGGAGATCCGCCAGCACCCAGACCCCACCCTCTTCTCCACCCCAGCACCCCTAGTGAGCTGAGCCTCACCACACCAAAGCACAGGGACACGCGCGCACGCCAACACCACAACTGCACACAGTGAAAAAAAATCTGACCTCTATGGTTCTTTCTTCCCCTCCGGATCCCCATTTCCATACAGACCCCACGGCCGCACAGTTTTCCCTCACTATACCGTCCTACATCATCCCACCCCTACAATAAAGAGGACACCAGGGTGCTTCAAAGCGATGGAGAAAAAAGGGTTTGGACGAGGCTGACTGACAGGATCCCTGGATACAGCCACTGCCCCAACCCTTACGTGGCCCCCTTCCACCCAGGATACCATCCTCCCCCGACGAAGAAACTTGGACTACAACTCCCAGCAGGCCAAGGAGCCTGAAGTCCAGGGTTAGAGGAGTAGGGCACGCTGGGAGATGGAGTCTCGGCGTGTTGCACCTGCCGCAGGAACCCGGGAAGGGAGGAGGGTGGATGGCGAAGATGGAGTGCGGATGCGGTGGGAGCAGCCTGCGCCGCCTCTTTCCCCAGACCCAAGCCTTTCCGTCCTCTGCGGCAGCGGAGGAACACATGCTCACACAATGTCCTTCCCCAAGGTGCGGCGGAGAAGGAGCCCCCTCCCCCACCACCCTCCTCCGCACCCCGGGCTCTGCAGCTCGCACCTAGACATCCAACCAGGAGTTGTTCGGGCTGGGCTGGACCAGCACGACCTAGCCCGGGAAGGGGTGAGAGGAGCCGGGTCGGAGAGAGGGTCCTGGGAGAACGTGTGCGCAAAAATGACACTTGAGCAGAATTCCAAGGAGCTCGAGGACACCTCCCACTTAGGGTAAGGGTTCCAAGGGCACCAGTCTAGGGCAGCCTCCAGATCTCTTCTCCTTCCCCAGACCCTTCCCTCTGCCCAGCTAGGTCACTCACTCACCACCTTCCAGCGATCTTTGACCACGTAGTTGGCCGGCAGGATGTCGGCCTGCTCCCCTCCCCCACTCATGTTGGTTTCGTCCTTAAGAGCAGCCGCTAGGCACTGCATCCGCCAGCCGGAGGGAGGGGTGTCCGCAGGGCCTGCCCTTGGGGGGCCATCTACCTGGGAGAGTGAGGAAGGGCAGTGAACAGCCTGACCACCACCCTAGCCATCCTGACAGCTGCGGAAAGGAACCCCATTCTGGGGGCAGGCATCCTTCCCAAGCCGGGGGTGGGGGTGGGGTGGAAGGGCTGCCGCTCCAGAGTTTCTGAATACTCCTGGTGACAGAGGTCAGTGGAAGGCAGGTATAAAACCCACAAACGGGAGGTGTGAAATCCGCAACAGGATACACACGGGGAGAACAGGAGAGGGCAGTGGTGTGGGAACCAGGCACGGAGGAAACGTTTACCATAGAGACATTGCAAACTCATGAGGGGAAGGAGTACCAGCCAGGGGGCATCCCAGGCTGAGACCCAAGAACGACAAGCCTGAGTCACTCCCGCTACCTGTGGTCCCAGGCATCCACACCTAGCCTGTGTCACAAAACTCCCTCGGAGCCCTGCTGTGCTGGCTGGCTGAAAGGGAAGACCTTCTGAGCATGGGTAAGCGGTGGGATACCCTCATCACAGCGGCCGGTCAGCCAACCCGACAGATGTGACCATCAAGAAAAATGAGGACATGCACGACAGCCCCTTGAGGGTGACGCGAAGGCAGATGGAGAGAAGTGCATGCCATCCTAAGTGGAGGCTGACCTCGCTGGCAGCTACAAGACCGGGAAGCCAGGATGTGTGCCGACTGTGGATTTCAGAGCGGTGGGACCCGCGGGGTCTACTCCACAGGGACCAAGGCAGACTGAACTGGGGGAGAGTAGAGCCGTGGGTGCTGTCTGAGGGGGGCCAGCGTGATAGAGAGAGGGGAGCCACAGGTCTGGGGAGGCAGGGGTGAGCAATGCCCTTTCTAGTATCTGCTGTTCTTAGGTGGATAAAAGTCGAGCATTGGAGACAGTATCCCAGGTCTCAGAGGTGCTAAGACACAGGTATCATAAGAAACGTGTGTGTGTGCGTGTGTGTGTGTGCGCGCGCGTGCCTGTGTTCATGCACCCCTCTGCATGAGTGTATGTCTTGCTTCGTGTGTATGTGTGTAGAGAAGGGGCCAGTAAAGGACTTCTGGTATTTCTGCCAAGCCAGCACAGGATTCGGAACCTGGAAGCATCTTTTCTCCTCGTCTTTCATCTACAGATATTTTGTGAGCTCCCTGCCACGCTCTAACCATGGTCCTGGGAGCCACGCTCTAACCATGGTCCTGGGAGCCACGTACAGCTGTGAAGGAAGTCAGGCTGGGGCTAAGTTTTCTGTAAGCGGGTGGGACACTCAGTTGCTAATTGTAGCTAAGTTCTTTGTAAATGCAGGAGGGGACATTGCGATTACTCCATGAGCCTGACACTCCTTGAGATGGCTAACTCCTTGTGAAGGACCTCCAGGTCACAGTGTTCCACTTGAAGAGAAAGCATCTCCATGGGGAAAAACATTGTCACTCTTTTTTAGTTTTTGTGTTTTAAACGACTGAGCTGAATTGTGTCCCCCAATGCACACAATGCCAGGGCGATGGGCTTTATGAGTTTGGAAGGCAGGGAGGACGATGGCACGGTGAAGGGAAATGGGGAGAGGTTCTAAACATAGGTTGAGGAAAAAGACTGAGGCACCTGTGATCCTAGCTCTCTGGAGGGTGATTTGAGACCAGTCTTGGCTATACAGCTAGTTCAAGGCCAGCCTGGGCTACAAGACACCCTGGCTGAAAACAAGAAAACAAACCAAAAGCAAAACTAAACAAAGAAGATTGGAGAAACAATCGATCTTGTGTGGAGGAGGTCTCTGCTGGACCCAGGCTGTAGCTGATCCTAGTGTGTAGGAAGCCAGGGGCCGGGCCCCAGCCCCAGCACCGGGGAAAGGGGGAAAAAGCTCAGCTCAGACTGAGGAAGCACGGGGGTTGAGCACGTGTCCGGCATGGTCAAGGACCCAGCACCTAACACCAAAACGTATTTTTAATAAAAAGGGGGCTGGGGGCTGGCGAGCCAGTTCTGTGGGGAAAACCCCTCACCATCAAGTCTGACAGTTCCATTCCTGAGACCCATGTGACAAAAACGGAGTCAGGGCCCTGAAACTTGTCCTCCGACCTGCACAGGCTCACCGTGTCGTGGCGTGGCATGCACATACCCTCCACACACAAAATAAATAAAATGTAATCCAAAGCGGGGGTTGAGATGCCTCGCCATATCTCAACCCTGAGCACAAGGCCCTACGTTCAGTCCCCAGTACTGAAAGTCATTTAAAAAGCTGCACAACTAGAGGTGCCTCAGTCCTGTGTGGCGGGCTCTGCAGGTTGATGAGGGAGACCTGTGAGCTGCTCAGTCTCTACACCTGGGGGGGACGGCGACAAGATCTGGCCATCCTGTCCACCACCCATCCCAGAGGATGCCTCCGTGGACCCCAGCTATCCCAGACTGGGTTGACGAGAATGGCTGCTTGGTTCCTGTCCTCTGAGGTCCCTTTGTGTGTGTGTGTGTGTGTGTGTGTGTGTGTGAGAGAGAGAGAGAGAGAGAGAGAGAGAGAGAGAGAGAGAGAGAGAGAGAGAGAGAGAGAGAGAGAGAGAGAGAGAGAGTGGGGTAAGTGGACAGAGCACTAAGTGCTTGGGAGCAGACGTGTTGCTGTGTGGCTATGCGAGGTGTGAGGCGGGCGGCGTGTGTGGACTCTCAGAGGCCGGGTAAGGAGAGGCAAATGGGAACAGGAGAAAAGAGGGGAGGAACAGAGTGCAGGGGACAGGGCCTGTCAGAGAGGCAGGGCGAGGGGAGGAGGGTTGGCAAGACAAGAGACAGGAGGAGATCGTGGTGGCAGGGACAGAGTGACGGGACCACGGGAGGGGCTTCTGGGCGCAGCTGGGGAGTAAAAAGGGAGGTTGGTGGAGGGAGGGAGGGGCTGGGGATGGGAGAGAGGGTCTGGAGACAGCTGAATGACCTGTAAGATGTGACGGGGGGGGGGGACAGAGGAGGGGAATCGCGGGGACGAGGGCTGGGGGTGGGGGCGGGGGGCCAAGAATGATGGGCTGGGGAGGGTGGGTCTGTGCGGGGGCAGGGAGAGGCTCCAGGCCTCAGGCTGCGGCCCAGGCAGTGTAGGCCAGCGTCCCAGCGCCTGATGGCCACGATTAAGACCGCTGCAGGATGGGCGCCGAGCCCTGGAAGTGAGCCCGGCGGGACGCCCGATGAACCCCAGAAGGGACCCTGGACCGCACGCCCGGCCCCGCCCCACCTCACCTGCTCGGTGTCCGCTGCGGCTGCGGCTGCGGCGGTGAAGGCAGCGGCACGGGGCGGCGCATCCCCCGGGGCCGGGGCGGGGCGGGGGCGCCTCAGTGCGGCGCTGGGCGGCCCGCTCTCTCCCGCAGCGGCGGCGGCCTCCCGACCGCGACCATCCCGGCCCGGCCCGGCCCGGCCCCGATCCTCCTCGGGCGACGGCGGTGGCAGCGGCAGCAGCAGCAGCAGCAGCAGCAGCAGCAGCAGCGGAGTGGGGAGCTGCCCACAATGCACTGCGCCGCCAGCATCAGCACCAGCCCTGACATCACCGCCTCACCGCCCCAGCCCTTACATCACTGCCGTTTTTCTGACATCACGTTCCACTCTGCCCATGATCCCGTCACAGCTGCCGGCTCTTGTGAACTGATTTATGCCATTCATTGGACCACAGGCTACTCCTTTAGCCTCACCTGAGCGCGATTCCATCCTCCACATAGCCAGCGTACCTCCCTGTGAGCCCTTTCCTCTATCTGAGCCCATCCTTCGCGCATCTCTATCGTGGCTCTTCTAATACCATTCCACACTGGGACGCACCACCCCTCACCTGGAACCCTCTCCTCACCACCCCTCACCTGGAACCCTCTCCTCACCACCCCTCACCTGGAACCCTCTCCTCACCACCCCTCACCTGGAACCCTATCCTCACCACCCCTCACCTGGAACCCTATCCTCACCACCCCTCACCTGGAACCCTATCCTCACCATCGACTTGCCTTCTCTCCTGGTTCTTACCTTCTCGGTTTTTTTTTTTTTTTCCGGGGAGGGAGGCCCTTTCTTCCAACTGCTAACATACTCTGTCATTGTTTCTTGTTGCTTACCAAATAAGATACACACTCTTTATTGTGACATTAAAAACTCTTTCTAACATGTGCCCATAAGGCTATTACTCTCCCAACAGATGGGATTACTCAATATTCTCTGAATATACTCTGCACCCTGCCTCTCTCGGCTCCTTCTTCCATTGCTTACATCCTCAGCAATGTGGAGGGAGCCTCTTCCACAACAGCAATAGCAGTGCTAACCCTGCCAGGCACATTAGCTCATTTAGTCTCTGTGAGCGGCCTAAGAAGTAAGAGCACTTACCGTGCAAGCACGAAGACCCGAGTTTGGGTCCTGGAAGCCAGGAGCTGTAAAAAGCCAGGAGCTGTGGTGTACATCTCCAGCCCCAGCACTGGGGAAGCAGACTCAAAGCTCGTTGGCCAGTCTAGCTCCAGGTTTGGTGAAAGAAGATGTCCTATCATTTAGCAATTACAGAGGAGAATCCCCTGGCCTCCACATATGTGAGTGCGCACACACGAGCTCGCACACCGCGTGCATGGGCACATACACATGCACACACACTTGCACACGTGTGCACGAGCACACACACACACACACAGAGCTGGGAAATGGTTCAGTGGGTAAAAAAGTTCTGACCCAAGGACACATGGTGGAAGGAGAGAAACCACTCCCAAAAGTTGTCTTCTGATTACCACACATGCATTAAAGCATGTATGCAACCTGGCACCTACAGCCCCACACTCATGCATACATCACACACACAATAATAATAATATAACAATAATAACAAATTTAAAAGGAAAAATGAAGTCATGATGTTTTCAGGAAAGTGGGCGCCACTGGAGATCATCGTGTTAAGTGAATAAGCAGCCTGAGAAAGACAAACACTTCATGTTTCCGTCAGTGGAAGGGGCTTGTGGCCAAACCTGATGGCTTGTATTCAATCCCCAGAACCCACATGGTGGGAGAAAAGAAGCAACTATCAAAGGTTGTCCTGTGACCTCCACACATGTTCTGTGGCATGTAGGCACACACACGCATACACACACACACACACACACACACACGCACGCACGCACGCGCGCACACACACGCACACATCACGATTTCTAAAAGTGTGTGTGTTGTAAAGCTAGGAAGCAGCCCATGGAATAAGTGGGAAGACCCTAGGGGAGGTGCTAAATAGAGAGGGTAATGGCGTAAGGCATGCGGTAAGAAAGCAGAGAGAGGAACCGGAGCACAGAGGACCCCAAGGGGAGGGGCATGAGAAGGGGCCAGCCCAGGGGGCACATTGACAAGGGCAAAATATAGTCATACCTATGTACAAAGACAGTTTCATGAAAACTCTTTTTGTTTTTGTTTTTGTTGTTGTTTTCTGAGACAGGGTTTTTCTGTATTGTTTTGGAGGCTGTCCTGGAACTCACTCTGTAGACCAGGCTGGCCTCGAACTCACAGAGATCCGCCTGTCTCTGTCTCCCGAGTGCTGGGGTTAAAGGCGCCACCTCTGCCCGGCTTCATGAAAACTCTTACTTTGTATGCTAACCTTTAATAAGAAAGGGGAGGGACAATGACAGTTGCTAAAATGCTTGCTGCTTAAGCGGGAGAACCGGAGGAAATTCACCACATTCAACGCCCATGTGATAGAGCCGGGTCTACAGTGTGTGCCTCTAACCCCAGAGCTGTGCATGGTGACAGGAAGATCCCCGGGGGCTACCTGCCAGCCAGTTTAGCCAAACTGGGGAGCTCCCGGTTTGCTGGGGTCTGGCCCGTATCCGTCCTATGCTACAGGGGCCATCTATTCCGGACTGATGTCTTTGGGACTGTGTTCAGAACCAGCAGAACAGCCCCTGGGTCCAACTCTGAGTGTGGGAGTGTGGATCAGGGAAGTCCTAGCTACCCAGCAGCGTTAAGGACGAGACAGAGACATCATGTCATCTCAGGAGGACTCTCAGTCCATACTGGAGACCATGGTTTATTCAAGCACCCTCTTAAATGGCTTTGTAAAAGCTGGGGTACTGGCAGAAGACATCTGCTATCATGTATAGAGGGCTGACTAGGAAACACTTCCTTTAACCCTAGAGATGGTCCTAGAGTGCACACGTACAAGCCCGCAGACTTTCCTTAACAGCACCAGGCTTCAGACATGTCCTACTAGGCTCCAGGCACATCCTACTAGAGCTCATTATAGGCATGGGGTCCAGGTCTATTGTTACACAAACTAGAAGCCATTCTCCACTGTGGCCTGGCCATCCGGAGGTAACCAGCTGACATCTAAAAGGCAATAGGAGATTCGAGCTCCTGGAATTGAGCTGAGGCCTATAAACGAAATATCATATTTGGACCCCCCGACCCCCCCCACATAGATTCAATGAGAGACTCCCTTGAAAAATAAGATGGAAGGCAATTGAGGAAGACACCTGGCACCAGCCTCTGGCCTGGCACATGTGCACACACACACATAGACACACACACAGGTATACACACACAGACACATACACAGGTATACACACACAGACACACACACACAGGTATACACACACAGACTCACACACAGATACACACACAGTTACACACACAGATACACACACAGGCATATACACACAGGTATACACACATAGGTATACACACACAGATACACACAGATACAGATACAGACCCACTCAGATACACACACATAGACACAGACACACACAGACTCACACTCAACAGAAGATACATTCATGCACAGACACACACATAGAGATACACACACTACATACATACTCACACAGACACACACATAAAGAGGCAGAGAGAAACAGAGAGACAAAGAGACAGGCAGAGAGAATGAGAATGGAGGGAAAAGTCTAGGCCAGTGAGCTGGTACACACTGTTAGTGCCAGCCCTGGAGAGGCAGATGTGGGCAGGTGTCTGTGTCTTTGAGACCAGTCTGCTGAGCTGCAGAGTGAGGCCGTGTCTTTGAAAGTCTTCTATGTCTTGTGAGGTTGGAGGTAGCTCAGCTGGTAGGTAGGATGCCTGCTTTGCTCTGCACACTCAAGGTTCTGGATGAAATCCCTGGCCCTCTCCTTCCCAGATCATCTGCATTTCTCAATATGCTCAATTTTTCTTGTAACTTTCAAAATCCGAAATACTTACAATGGTTTTAATGCACTTATCTATTAACTTCATTGTCTGAGTAATTTCTGAGTAATTTAATTTTATCCTCTGGCCATGAGTCATATATTTTTCTGTTTATTTCCATAATTAACATTTTTCAACCTTTGAGCATTTTCTTTCTTTCTTTCTTTTTTTTTAGAAGTACAAAACCAGACCAAAAAAAAAAAAAAAACCAGGTCTTGGGGCTGGAGGGGTAGGTGGCTCAGTGGTTAGGGGCAGGCGTTGCTCTTGTTTTTGCTGCTGCCGTTTGGGGCTGGCTTTCTTGTTTTCTTTTGCTGTTGTTGCCATTTGTTTACAGGCAGACTTTTTTCCATGCACACATCTCTCACTGGGTGCTTGGGTTGCTTCTATAGCTTATCTACCCTGCAGAGCACTGGGAAGTGTGTGAAGTGCACATGTTGCTTAGAAACTCTGATTTAAATGCCTTCAAGGAATAAAAAAGGCTGGGCGTTGGTGGCGCACACCTTTAATCCCAGCATTCGGGAGGCAGAGGCAGGTGGATCTCTGTGAGTGTGAGGCCAGCCTGGTCTACAGAGTGAGATTCAGGACAGCCTCCAAAACAATACAGAAAAATCCTGTCTGGAAAAACAAACAAATAAACAAAAAAAAGGGAGGGGGTCTGGAGAGATGGCTCAGCGTTTAAGAGCACAGATTGCTCTTCTAGAGGACCTGGGTTCAGTTCCCAGCATCCACATGGCAGCTCATAACTGCTTGTAACTCTAATTCCAGACCCAATACCCATAACAAAATACAAATACACATAAAAGTTAAAAATAAAAAGATTTTGTTTATTTATTTTATGCATAAGGATATTTTGTCTGCATGTAAGTCTGTGTGGACTCTTGTTGCCTGAGGAAAACCAGATCCAAACCCCTGGATCTCTCCAGCCTCTTGATTTAAATTCCTTAGTACACACACCTATAGCCTGGATCCCTGGACCATAAGGAATTCCTTTTTAATCCTCTTAGAAGCCTCAAGGTTTCTTCTTAGCTTCTAAACCATGCATTCCCACTCGCGGTGTCCAAAGATTCCAATCCCTCATCGCCCAGCTGACACTTAGCTGCGGTTTTGGTGTTTAGTTGTTGCTTTGTTATTGTTATTGTTTGAGGCAGGGCTTCCTGGAGCCCAGGCTGGCTTCATATTTTCTATATAGCTGAGGCTGGCCTTGAACTCCTGATCCCCCTACCTCCACATCTCAAGTCTGAGATTATAGGCATGTGCCGCCACACCTGGCTCACAATTCTCTTTTGATAAAAATGCATTCTAACAGACAAGCTGATATTTCGTCTTTATTTGTAATTTTTATTTATGTATTCATTGTGTGTATGGATGTTTCATCTGTGCGCATGTATGAGCACTAGATGCGCCTGGTGCTGGCAGAAGCCAAAGCAGGTGTTGGATTCCCTGGAACTGTGGTTGCTGGGAGCCAAACTCATTTCCGTGCAGGAGCAGCCATCTCTCCAGCCGCACACCCAGTGGGTGTCACAGGCTGTGAACCGACCTTGTGGGTTTCTCACTCAGTCGTCTCAGCTCCAGGACATGGCCAGGCTCAGCCTGAGCTGGCCCACTGGGACTCGGCCCAACACGTGCCGAGCTGGGGCCATTGGCAAATCCTCTGTGCCGGCTTAGTCTTTTACCTGGCCCAACCCCACCCGAAGCCTCTTGTTCCACATTCAGTCCAGCCTCTTGGTTTTTGTATCTGGCTGCTTCTGCTTGTAAGGGACACATCTGGCTGTCGGTGGCCAAACGCGGAGATGAACTGGAAGGAACCTTCCATGTGCTTAGCCATCTTGGGAGTGTGGGCGCTTGCACACGCTGCGGCAGAGACCATAACTGCGACCGCCTCATCCCATCTTCCCGTTCTGGAGCCTGGGCTCAGTCTTCCCAAAGCCAAGCAGAGCCCAAAGGCTGACACTCCTCATGGCTCCCTTGTAGAGTTCCTTCAGTATCTCACGCAGAATAAACACACTGAAAAATGTGTCCCAATTTGTATATTAAAGGAGACTCAGAAGATACCTGCTGTGAGCCTAACAACCCGAGCTGGAACCTGGGGCTCACACGGTAGAAGGAGAACGTGTACCCACAAGTTGTCCTCTAATCTACACACAAACCACACACACCATGCACACACATCACACATATTGCACATACCATGCACACACATCATACACACACACAATACACATGCACACCACACCATATACCCACATACACATACATCATACATGTCACACACACCACACACATATCACACAGACACACATCATATACATCCCACATACACACACACCACACATACATTGCACACACACACAGCACACACAGACACCGCACACACTGTGCATGTGCACGCGCGCGCGCGCACGCACACACACACACACACACACACACACACACACACACACGCCGCAGGATTGGAGAGACGCCTCAGTCATAAAGAGCCTGGCTGCTCTCCAGGGCTCAGTCAGTTCCCAGCACCTACATCAGGCTGTTTTATGGCTGCCTGTAATTCTAGTTCCAGGGGACCCACCACCCATTTCTGGTGTGTTCAGCAGCTGCATGTATGTGGTACACATACGTACATACAGGCAAAGCACTCATAAATAAAATAAAAAGAAAAGGAATCTCAAGACAAAAGCAAGACGGGGCTCACGCTGTAGCAATGGCTGGCCTGAAATTCACAGAGATCTACTTGCCTGTGTCTCCTGAATGCTGGGATTAAAGGTGTGTGGCCATCATGCCTGGCAAGAAAATAAATCTTTAAAAAAAGAAAGAGGTGGGGGAGGAGAAAGGAAGGAAGGAAGGGAGAAAGAGAGAAAGAAAGAAGGAGAGAGGGGGGAGAGGAAGGAAGAAGGGAGAGATTATGGGACTGGAGATGGCTCAGAGGTTAAGAGCACTGGCTGTGTTGCTTTAACTCCAGTTCCAGAGAATCCAGCCTTCTCTTCTCTTCTAGCCTTCATGGGTACCAGGTACCCACAAGGTGCCCAGACCTACATCCAGGCACATAACGTTTAAAAATATTTTTTCATCTGGGTGGTGGTGGTGCATGGCTTTAATACTAGCAATCTGGAAGCAGAGGCAGGTGGATCTCTTGAATTTGAGGTCAGCCTGGTCTACAGAGCAAGTTCTAGAACAACCAGGGCTACACAAAGAAACCCTGTCTTGAAAAAACAAAAAACATAACAAAACAAAAAAACCCTAAAACTAAAAAACCAAACCCAAAAATGCCCAACATAAACAAAAAACCCAAACGAAAACCAAACAAAATAAATGAATAAATACATACTTTTTCAAAGATAGCTTTTAAAAAGGAGATGATATGAATAAAGTTTAAACCATAATGTGTAAGATGCAAATGTGTGATTAAAACCTTTAAAATGGTGGAGTGCTGGTGCGCACTTGGGAGGCAGAGGCAGGTGAATCTCTGTGAGTTCGAGACCAGCCTGGTCTACAGAGTGAGTGCCAGGATAGGCTCCAAAGCTACACAGAGAAACCCTGTCTCAAAAAAAGGAAAAAACCTTTAAAATGTAATAAATTGTAGTTATGTTGAGTCTTGGTGTTTATCATGGAAATAAAGGCAGTACTTATTTTTGGAGGGATTAAAGGGTGTAAGGGGCTGTGAGTTGAATGAGACATATAGAAACTTCTGGAGACCTGAAACTGTTTTTTCCTTCTCTCTACCCGCCTCCCCGTGCCTTCTGTCCCTGTCTGTTTAGTGGGGACATAACCCAGAGCCTCCTGCGTGACACATAGGTGCTCTGCTGCACCCCAGACCTGAACATCTGCTTCTTGACACAAGCAATGGCAATGAGCGCGTTTGTGCTAAAATTGTTATTTATTTGAAGTGATTGAGACAGGGCTGGGGCTGGGGTTCTAGTTAAGTTGGAAGAGTGCTTGCTTAGATTTACTAGCAGGCGAGGACATCAGGCCACACAGAGGACTGTGCAAGGCTGTTAAAGGAACTAAAGACAGCCCAGGGTAGTTGCCAACCTACAACGTTCCAACTCTCCAAAGTCAGCCATTCTTGGAGGACCTTGAGACACGTGTGACTTTTTCGTCAGAATTTCCGTCATATACCTTAATAAAGTTTTCCTTTAAATTGTTCTTTGATAACTTCATTACTGTGTGTATTGCATTCTGGTTACTCTCTTCTCGACTCTCTCTCTCTCTCTCTCTCTCTGGTTCTCTCTCTCTCTCTGGTTCTCTCTCTCTCTCTGGTTCTCTCTCTCTCTCTGGTTCTCTCTCTCTCTCTGGTTCTCTCTCTCTCTCTGGTTCTCTCTCTCTCTCTCTCTCTCTCTGGTTATGTCTCTGTGTCTCTGTTTTTTTTCAGACAGGGTTTCTCTTTATAGTCCTGGCTGTCCTGGAGCTCTCTCTGTAGACCAGGCTGGTCCTGAACTCACAGAGATCCGCCTGCCTCTGCCTCCCGAGTGCTGGGGTTACAGGTGCACACCACCACTGCCTGGCCTCCTACTCTCTCTTACTCCCTCCCACCCGTTTCCTCCCTTCTCTACCAATGGTTTTTCTAAGACCATGACTTTTGGTTTGGTTTACGACCGTTTAGTTTAACCGGGCTGTGTGTGTGACCACTGGATTAGTGGAGCCCAGTGGGTCATCAGTGGTCACATGGCTGAAATCAGCAGTTCCTTTTTTCCTAACATGTTAGTTCACCAGTGAAGGTGGGGCCCTCCGTCTAACCAGCCTTGGTTGTTGACAGCCTCTCTTCTGAAGGCCCAGGGCATTCATCTGCAGGCAAGAGCTGGTGACTGCAGTGGCTGTGTCTTACCAGGGGCTGGTTTTCACCGCTCTTCACTAATGTTTGGGTCCCTGGGTTGCCGCCTGTTTTATCCCAATTAGGATGGGGGTCACTCACTGAGGGTTTCCCATGCATCCCCAGTGTGCTCTGCACAGCCACAGAGTGTCCGGCCGACAGCGGCAGGAAGAGTGGGAGCAGGAGGTCTGGAGAGGGGTGGCGGCCATGGAGGTGGTGGAGAGTGGAATTCAGGAAGTGTAGAAGTCTTGCCCCATTTCTTATCACTGTACCCACATATCAGAGCATATCTTAGCCATCACCAGACAGGCTTCTTTTTGTAGTAGATCAGGTTAACCCAGAGTCCCACAACTGGAGAGTGTGTGACTGTAAATGCGTGCCACACCCCTCCCCCCAAGGTTCAGGGATCATTCTGGAAGAGCGAGTGGGAAGCCTGTAAGGGACAGAGGAATAGACTGTCGTGAAACAGTATTCCCAGATGTGACATGGGCCTACACAGTGACTCACAGCAGCTGTGGCTGCCCACACAAGATCAAGCTGTCCTAGATGCCAGCTTGTGAGCAGAAGGGGAGCCATGACGAGATACTGACAAGGAATGGCTGCGGCCCTTTGAGGCTGTCTGACTTCCTCCAGTCTGTGGTTCCATACCGTTGCCCATCTAGGTAACACCGAATGGACTCAGTATTAAATTAAAGGGGGGCTGGGGAGATAGTTCAGTGGTTAAGAGAACTCACTGTCTGTGTTCCCGGAGGCCCCAGGTTTGATTCTCAGCACCCACTTGGTGGCTCACCACATCTACAACTCCAGTTCAGTGTATTCCATTGCGTTCTTTTGGCCGCTTGGAGCACCAGGCATCACAGGTGCGCAGTTGTATACGAAACAAATCACTTATACACATAAAATAAAGCAACGATAATAATAGAACACATGGAGTTGGTGTAGAAGGTAGAGGTGGGATTGGAGGGGAGAGATTGGGGTGGATTTGATTAAATCACATTACATACACGATGAACGACACTGTTTTGGCGGGGCGGGGAGGGGGGTTCGATAGGGTTTCTCTGTAGCTAATGTCTGTCCTGGAACTCACTCTGTAGACCAGGCTGACCTCGAAGTCAGAGATCCACCTGCTCCAGAGTCCTGGGATTAAAGGCGTGCACCACCACCGCCCGGCGAATGATAAAATGATTAAAAAGAAACAAATTAGCAGTTTTTAAATTGTAGAAAGATTAGGGAGAACCTATTACAGTTGCCCGTGGATTCATTGTGGAGTTTGAGTGAATCAGGAGAGCCCGGACAGCTTGAGCATCTGGGAGCTGGGGAGGGGCGGGTGACGGGGAGGAGTCAGAGCTAAGGGGCGGGTTGACTCAGGAAGAGCCAATCCGGGAGGAGTGAGCTTGCAAAAGATGCACCCTTTTCCGCCGCGAGTCGCATTCTCAGATCACGTGGTCGCGACTGCGCCCCCTGGCGGCGGCGAACACCGCGCGCAGCGATGGCGGCGGCAGCTGAGCAGGGTGGCTGCTCCGTGTATTTTTGCGGGAGCATCCGAGGCGGGCGCGAGGACCAGGCACTGTATGCGCGGATCGTGTCGCGGCTGCGACGCTATGGGAAGGTGCTCACCGAGCACGTGGCAGCTGCAGAGCTGGACCCGCGCGGTGAGGCGGCGCGGGCCGGAGACCGCAGACTGGGGCTAGTAAGGGACTGGCAGGCAAGAGACTAGGAGAGCCGCTGACTAATAGACCTGCAGCCTAAGGGACCCGCAGCCTAAGGGACCTGCAGTCTAAGGGACCTGCAGTCTAGGGGACCCGCAGCCTAAGGGACATGCAGCCTAAGGGACCTGCAGTCTAGGGGACCCGCAGCCTAAGGGACATGCAGTCTAAGGGACCTGCAGTCTAGGACCCGCAGCCTAAGGGACCTGCAGTCTAGGGGACCCTAGTTAGGGGACTGGCTGGCAGAGGAAGGCCCTGGGTTGTGACTCTCCTGCAAGTGCACGCCCCATCCAGAGGAGCTGACCTTGCCAGTCCCAGCACACTGGAAGCCTTTGAAAGTTGTACCTAGAATTCTTGTACTTGTGCTCAGAAAACTTTTAAGTAGTTTTCCCTTGCCCCACACAAGAACAGACTCATAAGCTGTGGGTTCTAATGCAAATCTGGGAGAATCTTTTTTTATTTTTTAAGTGTGCATTAGCGTTTTGCCATGGGTTTCCGGTCCCCTGGAACTGGAGACAGTCGAGAGCTGCCATGTGGGTGCTGGGACCTGAACCCAGGTTCCCTGGAAGAGCAGTCAGCGCTCTTAACCGCTGAGCCATCTCTCCAACCCTTCTGGGACAATCTTTTCAAAGGCAAAGAATTACAAGGCCAAAAATGCTAGGGGATTGAGAAGGGCTAGTTCATGCTTATGATTGGCTAGGGGATTGAGAAGGACTAGTTCATGCTTATGATTGGCTAGTGGATTGAGAAGGGCTAGTTCATGCTTATGATTGGCTAGGGGATTGAGAAGGGCTAGTTCATGCTTATGATTGGCTAGGGGACTGAGAAGGGCTAGTTCATGCTTATGATTGGCTAGGGGACTGAGAAGGGCTAGTTCATGCTTATGATTGGCTAGGGGATTGAGAAGGACTAGTTCATGCTTATGATTGGCTAGGGGACTGAGAAGGGCTAGTTCATGCTTATGATTGGCTCACTCATGGTGTGTTTGGTTGATAGTTCTCATCTGTTCGACTCCCAACACTCTGGAGGTTGAGGCAGGAGAGTTCCAGGCCAACCTGGACTACATAGTTAGACCCTTCTAACAGAAAACTGACAGAAAACCAAACCCAACTTGCATTCTCTCTCTCTCTCTCTCTCTCTCTCTCTCTCTCTCTCTCTCTCTCTCTCTCTCTCTCTCTCTCTCTCTCTCTCTCTCTCTCTCTCTCTCTGTGTGTGTGTGTGTGTGTGTGTGTGTGTGTCTGTCTGTCTCTCTCATTTTTGTTTTGCAAGACAGGGTTTCTCTGTAACAAACAGTCCTTGCTGTCCTTGCTGCCCTTGGAACTTGCTTTGTAGACCAGGCTGACCTCGAACTGAGATCCACCTGCCCCTGCTCCCAAGTGCTGTGATTAAAGGTGTTTGTCACTACCAATCAGGCCTTTTTTTTTTTTTTTTTTTTTTTTTTGAGACAGGGTCTCTCTCTATATCCCTGGCTGTCATGGAACTCATTGTGTAGGCCAGACCATCATGTTACTCAGAGATCCGCCTGCTTCTGTCTCCTGAGGCTAGGATCACAGATGTGTTACGGCCTCCAGCTCACAAATGAACTTTCTGATGAGGTGTTTGTACTCTGCCACCAGCACAGCCATCTGAACAGTGGCATTTATTGAAACTGGAAGTGACCCTGACCTCTGACCCCAGTTATGTCTCTTGGGCCTTTGGCCGAGTGCCTTTCCAGAGTTGTTTGGCTTCATAGTGAGTCAGTCCTTTCCACGCTCACCCAGCCCCAACCACACATCATACCTGGCACAGGGCTGGGTTTTCCTGTGGCTGTGCTCACCCCTTTTGACAGACTCCTCTCCTGGGCTGGCCTTTGGAGGTGTGGAGCACCGGTCTCCTCCCTCTGCCTCCCTGAGCAGGGTAGATTTGAAGGTTCCAGGGTACTGAATTGGGGTAGGAACTTCCTTGACCAGCTTCCCCCCCAACCACAGGAGAAGAGGCTGCTGGGGGTGACGGGCTCATCCATGAGCGAGACCTGGCCTGGCTGCGGGAGGCTGATGGTGAGTGCGCCCCCTCCGCCGTGCAGGCTCCTCCGTGATGGTCATTCCTGGGATATCCCTGGTCTCCATACCTAGAAGGAACTCCTTCCCTACCGCAGATACACTGCCAACCTGTCCTTACAAGTCTTATTTTGCTTTCTTTCTAGTGGTCGTGGCTGAGGTGACACAGCCATCCCTGGGTGTTGGCTATGAACTGGGCTGGGCAGTAGCTCTTGGTAAACAAATTCTATGCCTGTTCCGACCACAGTCTGGCCGAGGTGAGTCCCCAGCCTGGGGGGCTAACCCCTTCCTGGGGGCTAACCCCTTCCTGGGGGCTAACCCCTTCCTCGCTTTTTTGGGAAAGCCTATGACAGTGTCTTCCTTTCCCAGTGGGGTGGGAGCATGGAGTCATCTCTCCTTCCCCTCCTCAGTGCTTTCCGCCATGATCCGGGGAGCAGCAGACGGCTCGAGGATCCAGGTGTGGGACTACACAGAAGGAGAGGTGGACGCCATGCTTGATCAATACTTTGCGACTTACCCTCCTGAGAGGAGCGCTACCTCCAGTAACCCAAGTACCTGACCTATCCCTACTTTATTAAAAAGGTTTGAGGTTTTTCATGTGTTATGACTACACGTATTTATAAGACCACACGCATGCCTGGCGTCCACAGAGGCCAGAAGAGGGCGTCGGATCCTCTGGAACTGGCATTAGAGATGGTTATGAGGCACCACATGAGTGCCAAGAGCTGAACCTAGGACCTCTGCAGAGTAACAAGTGCTGTTAACCGCTGACCCTTGTCTCTGGAGAATCCTGACCCTGACACGTCTCTGGAGTCACTCCAGCCTTAGCCTCCTCACTAGTACAAAGGTTCACTTAGCTGGATGTGGTACACACACATGCCAGTCCTTGGAGGGACCGGCAGGTGGACTTCTGAATGAGAGGCCAGTGTGGTCTATATAGTGAGTTTCATGACAGCTGGAGCTATGTACATAGACCCAGTCTCAAAAACCCACCATGGGACCCGTCCCTGATAACATCCCCTTCCACCCTGATACAGAAGACCTTTTGCCAGGCCCTCTGGGGCCCTGGGGAACATTTAAAAGCGTGGAAGGAGGCCAGGTGGGTGGCCGTCATTCTCCTCTCTGAGCTGGACCCTGAGAGCTTGTGCTTCCCTTTGTGACTTCAGGTCAAACGAGTCTGCTTGGGTCTTTTTCTGAGGATAGAAAGGTCTGGAAGTCTGAAGATGTGGAGGGCTGGTGAGATGTCAGCTGCTAACCCTGAAGACCTGGGTTCTGGCCCAAGCTCCTACATGGGAAAGAAAAGTGACTCCCTGAAGGTACTCTCTGTCCTAGCACCACAGCATGCACACACCCACACAGTATTAAAAAGTTGTTTAAAGAGTGACAGTGGCTGTCAGGGACACCAGGAGCATGCCCAGCCTGCTTCCAGAGAAGTGTGTGGAAAAAGTTTATTCAGTAAACAGCAGGTGCTGCACACACTGGGAATCCCCTCCCATATGACATTGGAGGGCTGAAGTCCCCAGCCCCGTGGCCCTGCCTGGTGGGGCAGCTCCAGGTGTTTACTGCCCCCTCAGTCATAGGACTCATCATCGTCATCCTCATCGCCGAAGAAGAAAGTCTCTCGGTCCAGGTTCTCAGACTCTTCGTCGTAGGAAAAGCTGTCATTGTCTAGTTCCTCGTCAAACTCGTGCTGCCACTCAGGTGCCTCCTCCTCCTCCTCCTCCTCTTCCTCCTCTTCATCTTCTGCTCCCAGCCCTGAGGAGCCCTGGGGCCTGGGGAAGGTCACCACACTCAGCCGGAAAACCCTACATTCCTGCCGCCCTCCCCCAGGGTTATGCCCAGCCCACTCACTGATTGCTGGGCACGTTGGATCCTTTCACCTCCCGAACCTCTACTGATGGACTCTGCAGTCCAACCCGGAAGTCCTGACAAAGAGACAGGAGGGCCTGAGGAGCAGAAGAGCAGAGGGACCAGGCCTGTGGCCTGGCACTCCGACCGTCCCCTGATCGTTCCTGAGAGCCAGACCGCCATGAGCACTCCTGCGGTTAACTCCCTGCGGCTCCTGGGAGAGGATGGTGGTGGGCACTGAGCCTGCACCCAGCAGCAGCATCTCTGCCCAGTTACTAAGCAAGCTCAGCTTGGGCTCCACACCTGAGTACCAGACCCTGGAAATCGCACCCTCCAGTGCCTCCCACACGCAGGGCTGTGGTCGGAGAAAGTTCAGACTGATTCTGATGAGTACCTGGCCCCAAACCCCTGATCTAGAGAAACGCCAGGAGCTTAAGTGACACGGCAGACTGGCCCCTGCCTCCTACAGCCCTTTGCCTGCTCAGGACCCCCCCCAAGCAGGGCTGTGCAGGGCAGTACCTGGGTGGAGTGCTGCAGGATGGCCAGCAGCCTCTCCTGGATCCTCCGGAGCAGCTCGGTGCCTGTGCTGAGGCAATCAGCCCGCAGGAGGCGCAGGGAGGAAGCCAGGTCCTGGCAGCGCAGCAGGCTCTCCTCTGCAGGGGCGAGCACAGGGCCTGCTCTCTCCTCCCGTCCACTCCTTCCTCCCACAGACAGCTATGGAGCACGTCCCAAGTGCCAGTCACAGCTGCCAAAACTCATAGAGTATGCTGGAGAGATGGCTCAGAGGTTAAGAGCACTGGCTGCTCTTCCAGAGGACCTGAGTTCAATTCCCAGCACCCACACGGTGGCTCACAACCATTTCCAGCGGGATCTGAAGCCCTCTTCTGGCACAGAGGCATATATACAAGTAGAGCATTCATATACATAAAATAAATAAATCTTTTTAAAAAACCACCTCATGGAGCTCACCCGCCATGGGCAGGGTGTGGAGCAGCCGGCCAGGAGCACATCTGTGACCCAGGGCCCTATGTCGTGGACTTGAGACCCGAGAGAGGGATGAAGGGAGGAGAGGGACAGTGACAGAAGCTGGGGGCCCTGGACGACTGTCGGGCTGGGCGCGGGCCTGTAGCACAAGGGGAGAGGACGGCGGCGCTCACCGAGGAGGATCTGCAGGGCGTTCGTGTGCAGCTCCAGACTCTCCGTCTGCTGCTCCACCACATCCATGTACTCCGTGTCCTGGCTGTAGAAGCTGTAGACACAGGCGTAGGCCAGCACCTGGAGGAGCCCCGTCAGTGCACGCAGCCTGAGTCCTGGTCCTCACCCCCATTCCCTCTCTTCTGGTCCCCCCATCCAAGCCCACTCAGCCCCCTTGGCATACCCCTCCCGTTGCCTCCCCACTGCCACAACCTTTCGAGCCTGCTCAAGGGCCCGGCAGGCGTCGTGAAGGAAGGTGAAGGATTTGGGTGGGGGCACCTCGTGGAGGGCAGAGGCCCGGTTCCGCAGGTTCACAGCAAACTCCTGTGGGAGGAAAGCACAGTCCCAGCGTGAGGCCCGCAGGCCGTGCAGCTCCCTGCTGGCCCGCCCAGTGCGGTCACCAACCCTTTGACTTGACCCCTGCCCACTGCTCACCCGGGCCTGGTGGTGGAAGGTGCACCTCTCGTTATAGTCCTGAAACCGCTTCTCCTGGCGAGCTGCCTTGCTCACCTGGTAAGGACACATGGAACTGTTCTGGGTGCTTGTTCTGATGGGCTGGGGTTCTTAGAAAGGCCACTACCCATGATGCCTCTCTACACTTCCTGTTACTGCCTCCCTTCTCATGGGAGTGTTGATGCTTGTCCCGGGCAGCCAGGGTTAGGGCAGGCCCATACCACACTCCCTGCTCCTGTCCAGGAGCCAGCTGCGGCTGCTCCTAACTGGCGGGGCCTCTGGCCCTGTGGCAGCCCCTTACCATGGCAGAGCAGTTGTAGTAGTCCTTGTGGCTTGGCTTCCAGGACTTGAGGCACCGCCAGCAGAAGCCATGGTTACATCTGGCACAGGTCATGCTGTGGGGATTCGAGCTGGTCAGGGAAGCCTGCCTCTGGATCAGGGTGCCCAAAGGTTGGACACGCCACTGACAAGGTCCCACCTTCCAGAGCCCTGCTAAGGACACCCTTGCTTTGGGCTTCCCAACAGTGGACCTGGAACCGGGGAGGAGGAATCAGGAGGTGACCCTGGGGACAAGTGAGGGCAGTGAATTTGCTGCACTCCACAGTGAGCTCCAATTCCTTCCTTGCGGCTAGGCCTTCCCCACAGCATGCTCCCAGAGCCCCCTGCACCCCTTCTTACTGCAGACAACCCTCATTCTTCTCGATGGGCGCCTGGCAGCTGGGACAGCGTTTGGAGATGAGCTTGGCCAGGTGTTTGCTCTGGGCCTCCACACTCATGCCGTCATAGTAGCCACCGTCATCCACCCACTGGGACATGTGGCCACAGCTGGCCGGGTAGTGTGCCTAGGTGGGGGGAGTGGGAGGAAACAGCCAGCTCATCCAGGTATCAGTCAGGGGGCAACGGCGCTGTGTGTGTGTGTGTGTGTGTGTGTGTGTGTAGAGGTGCTGGGCAGTGAAGGAAAGGATGAGTTCTTGCAGGGGTCAGAGTGGGGCACCCACCTCGGGGAAGCTACAGTTGAAGCAAGAGGCCCAGCCACACTTAGAGCAGGTGGTTCCACTGCCCAGGCCCTGGCGGCACAGGACGCGATCACAGCCCTGAGGGTTGGTGCACCATGTCAGGTTGGAGCAGCTCTCCACATAGCCTCGCAGGAGGGCCTTCTCGTACTGTGGGCAAAGGCAAATTGCTACGAATGATGGGAGAGCAGGACTCTCCAGGAGACCCAAATGCTCTTAGCATCTGGAGGCCAGCCCGTCCTCTGGGGCCTGGGGCAGGAGGGGCCTACCTTGGAAATGACCTCTGGGGAGGAGACAATGTCACGGATGAAGGCTCCAGTGGGCTGAGCAGGACAGTCAGCAATGGGGCAGGTACAATTCAACACAAAGTTCTGCTCTATCCGAGTCGTCAGGTACTCATTCCAGCAAGACTGCAAGGACAGGAGGAGGGGCTGCTCAGGGACAGGGGCCCTGGCCGCAGCCTGACACTTTCTCCATGGCTTCATGGAAGGCCATAGATGACAGGCGCCTAGGTCTACCTCACAGCTGAGTGTGTCTGCCAGACTCCATGGTTTCTTGGGATGAGGCTAAATTGCAGCTGTTTGGAGGATGTGTGAGGCTTAGGCACGGGCCTAACTGTAAATACTATCAGACACAGAGGAGTACAGCATCAACTCAGAGGCTTGAGCGCTGAGACAGTGTGCGATGCCTTAGTGTCCCATAAAAGGCTGGCACACTGCAGGCTTGGTTCCGATGGAAACAGTGTTCAGTGGCGGGGCTTTTGTCAGGTGTCAGGACCACGAGGGCTCTGCCTTGACTGCGGTGGCCGGCGGCTGGCCGCAGGTCACTGGCGATGTGCCTCTGAAGGATGACTTGTCCCTGATCCTTTTCTGCCTGACCACTCACACACATGAATTAGAGACCATTTTTTCTCCTAGTCCCCTGGCCCCACCTCCTTCAGACAGACTTGCTTGTCCCTGTGTCCTCTTCACCAGAACAGCCATCCTCACCCCCCACCCCAAGCAGCTCACTGTCATCTCAACACACTCAGGAGCCTGAGAAATGGCTCCCCTCACTCTCTGAAACTGTCATCTCAACACACTCAGGAGCCTCCTGAGAAATGGCTCCCCTCACTCTCTGAAACTGCTGCACTGGCCCCTGGCTCCTCAGCCTATGACCAAGTGTTCCCATAGGAGACTATGAGCACCAGGGACACCAGCTGATGGGGTCCATGTAGAGAAGCTGGGTCATTCTGTCACCCTTTTCATCTTGAAACAACCAAAACTAAGTGGGAAGCAAACTAAAAAAAGTCTTGCATCATTTTTAGACAAAGCAAGGGGACACTCTGCCAAATGCGGACCTCACTCTTGTAGCAAGCATATCAAAACCCATCCCCTTTCCTAGTCGCTACACACAATCCAAAAAGCAACTGTCTTTACACGACGGCCAAAGAGTTTGTTTTGTTTTTGGTGGGTGAGTGGGTGCACGTGTCTGTACAGATGCTCTCATGTGTCTGTATCAGTGCATATGTGTCTGTACAGGTGTGAGTGCGTCTTTACGGGTGTGCATATGTCTGTACTAGTGTGTGTGTCTATACAAGTGCCAGTATGTCTGTATTGGTGCACATATGCCTGTACATGTGCAAGTGTGTCCGTACAGGTGCGAGTGTGTCTGTACAGGTGCGAGTGTGTCCATACTGGTGCGTGTGTGTCTGTACAGGTGCGAGTACGTCTGTACTAGTGCACACGTTTGTACTGGTTTACACATGTCTGTACTGGTGCACATGTGTCTGTACAGGTGCTCATGTGTCTGTATGGGTGCTCAAGTGTCTGTACTGGTGCACATGTGTCTGGTACACACGTGTCTGTACTGGTACACGTGT